GAGCCGCTCCTGCTTTGCGATCATGCTGACGCATCTCTGCAGGCGCTCATACTGCCGCATGCACGACAGCCCGCAGGCAGCCTTTGGGGCCTGCGGTACGTGCTCCTCTCACGCCCTCGGGCGCAGCACGGCCAACGCCGCTTTCAGGTCCGAGTGGCGCACGGTGCCCCACTGGCCCTTGGCGGTGTCACTCTCGTTGGCGCCCAGCGACACGGCCCCGAAAAAGTCCACCGAGGCGTCCGGCGGCCGGAGCGCCCGCTCTATCGCGTTGTAGACCCGCGGCTCGGAGAGCGTCCGGACAAAGCCCACCAAACAAACGGCGATGCGGGGCACCTTCGAGCGACCACCTCCCTCAGGGTGGAGGCCTGACGGACCGGCCTTGAGGCCGAGTCGGCGGCGGCGGCGGCGGTGGCGGCGGTTGTGCTCGTGCGCGGATGGCATATACACACACAACGTGTGTGTGTCTGTACGTTGGCTACGACGGACGGACGGACGACCGAGCCATGTCGACGGGTTGCGCGTGTCGACGCCGTCGAGCTGGTGCCTGGCTGGGGTTGCACAGCCTAAGTCTCGAACCCCTGACTTGCAGATTGCTCATCTGTCAGTCTGACGTTCGGGCGCCTGTCGTCGGCAGTGCGAGCGGCTCGCGCGCACATCGGGCCACAAATGCAACAAACAACACAACACAATCTCTCTCTCCCAAATGCACCGACCGCGCCACACACATGCGCGCTCGTGGAGAGGAGCTACGGCCATTCTCCACTTGTGTTCGACGACGTCGTACATTGTTCGACGACGTCGAACACGATCGAGAAACCGTCGGCGTCGAGTAACACAGGCAAACAAACAAATTCATTCAGGCAAACCAGAGAGAAAGAATTTTCCAAGAAAGCTCCCTTTTGTTTTTTGCTCCCTAGTGCCTAGACTGCTATTGCAATACGGCCATTCCTAAGTAGTGTGTGACGTCGTCAAACACTACTGTTTGACGACGTCAAACACGATCGAGTAACCGTCCACAGGCCTCTTCACACCCTCCCTTCTCAGACTAGCACCCCACCTCGGTCCTCGCGGAGTACCGACCGATCTTCTGCCCGAGAGCGAGGTTGCTGCGGAGCACTCCGCGGGCGCAGCGAAACGATCGAACGGTCGATCAATCGAGGAGCAGAGAGTTTGTGGCCATGTGGGGGCCGATCGGCGGAAGGAAGGTATTTCGGTCTCAGACCTACATTCTATATTCCAGAATGGCATTCTTCGAAATAGAATGGGCGCCGCAGCGGCCCGTAGCGGCGCCCCCTGCGTGCCCACGGCCACCCCGGGGCCATGGGACATGCCCCCGGCCATCGGGGATGCTTGGTTCATCCATTACCCCATTTACACGGGCTGTGTTGCGGCGCGCCTCGAGACGCGCAGCGCAGCGCAGCGCGCAGACCACAAAACAGGTCAGAAGACGGCCGTGGCGACACCCGCTCTCTGAGCGACAGCCCCGCAAAGGGCACTCGCTCGCAGGCGAGGACTACGGGCAGCACAGGCAGCAGCAGAGCTGGCGGTCCGTCTCCCCGCCCGCTGTAGCAAGTCGGCCCCAGCGTCACGGCCGGGACGGGCCAGGAGCCGCCCTCGGAGTCGTCTTCCCCGTCCTCCTTCCGCTCGGCTCTTCGCTCGGTACGTTCGGTGTGGCTCACCCTCCATGCCGTGAACAGGAGCTTTATCCACCCTATATTCTTCTCTCGTTCCTCTGCCCGTGCCTGTCGACT